ACCACGAAGTTTCAGTTTTTTAAAGGAGAAGTCTAAAGTTTAAAATTAATTTTAATATAAAACAAATTTCTTAATGCTGTTAAAAATAATAGTTAAAAGGCTTACATATTATTTGTTTGAAATTTTCCATAGGCAATCTAAACCAATTTAGAGCAAGACATCTGTATAAACATTTTTTTTATACATATGTATGTGTATATTTTCAGCTAGACGGCCAGGTGTGCATTGCATGCCCACCGTGCTGCAAACGTTCCTTTTGAAACGAGTATCCACATGACTCACCCTCACACTAACACATTGATAATATATGTGTGGAGCTTACGCTCCCCATTGCGATTCTTCGCTATGAAGTGTTTGTCTTTCAAAACTTATTTTTCATTGGTGCAATAATTTTAACTGGTGCTTTGAGCGCTATTTAATTGAGAATATCGCACAAATATGAGTACAATATCATTTGCATATACTTCGCTGATTTTGCATTTAAATTATATGTAAGGAATATAGAATTTAATAATGCCAATTTGATAACAGTGGGAGCGTAAGCACGGAGACTGGGGGGAAGCACATCATTTGCTCAGCTGGGTACAGGGTATACGCAAGTCATGCGACCCCGACTAGAGCACTCTTGTTTTGGTGTAAGACTAAAAATGAAAAACGTTAAAGCCTTAATGTAGCATATTTATCAATTAGGGCTTAATTTTTATTTTATTGGATTTTGTGATTTTATGAATTGTATTATATCGTATTTAGATGGATGGCACCTGTGAGGATCAGTGTCAACGTTTGGAAAATCTATTGCGCACGAGCGCCCAGCAATTGGATGACAGGGACAAACGCTGCCTGCAACAGTTGCTGATGTGCGTACAGCAACTGGATCTGGATGCGATGGCCGAACAGGATAGCTGGCAGGCAACGGTGAGTATATAAAACAATATGTTTTGATTACATAAAAGTCAAGGCGTATGTCAGAAAGTCAGAAGTTGGGGACAAGTCGTTTTGAAACGACAAGATTTACATTTTAACCGCAACAAAAGAAAACTGTTTTTTTTTAATCGTTAAGAAAATCAATAGAAACCCGAATCAAAAATTCAAGTGTGGTCTCATTTTGCTGCCTTTGCAGACGAAAACGGAACCACGTGCCAGGCACAGCCGCATCGTAGCCACCGTACAGCCGTATAGTAACAGTGCCACACCCAGTGCGCCCACAACGCCAAGCAAACAACTGCAGCGAACTGGCAGCAGCGCCTGGCAGAACAGCAGCCTCAGCGAGAGCGGTGTCTTTGTCGAGTGCGATTTATCCGCAACGTCAACGGAACGCGAACCACATCCCCACCTTCAATATTATCAGGAGCGTCTCATCCAGTTGGAGGGCAAGCTCCTGGTCTATGAGAGCAGCGGCGAAACGCAGGCAAAGCATTTGGCGGAGCGTCTGCAACGTGAGCTGCAGCTGAGTAAGCAGGTGAAGGAGCTGATCGAACGTGTGGAGGTGCTTGTGGAGCAAAACGCGCTGCTGGACGAGGCCAAGTGTGAGTTTGAGGAGGCGGAGAACGATACACGCCTACATTTGCAGCGTAACGAGGAAGAACTGGAAATACTGCGACAGCGTAACGTGGAGCTAGAGTTCGGAAAGGACGCTTTAGGCGCTAAGTATCGGGATTGCCGTGCTGAGTGTCTGATATTGCGCGAGGACCTATGTGCCGCCGAGACACAGCTGGAGCATCTGCGTGCGGAGCGACAACGTGCCAAGCAGCAATTGGAGAGTTTGCGCCGATCAATTCCCCTACTGCTAATTTACCACCTATTGGCGCTTGCCCGGATTAGCCCTGGTACCAGCAACATGGGCAATGAGGAATCCCTGCCACAACGCACACAAGCTGGCGCTGCCAAGCCGGCCTGTGGACCCTGCAGTTCCGGTAAACTCAAGCAGAGCATTCTTAACAGCTGCGCGAATGCCACGCAGGATCCAGGCGCCGCGCGTGAAATAAATTATCTAAAGGATGAGATCAAGACTTTGCGTTGTTCCCTTAAGGACCTCAATACGCGTCATTATGAGGCCATGGAAACGGCCGACTCCCACTGGGTCGATCTGGAGCGTGAGTATAAGTCGCGCGAGGAGGCCTATCGTACCAAAGAGGTGTGCCTGAAGCAGAAGATTAACAAGCTGCAGGATTGCCTGCGCGATGATTCGCGCGCTGCTGCCGAGAAGATACAACAGTTAGAGGAAACTGAGCATGGACTGAAGACGTGCCTTGTGCGTCTGACCAAGGAGCATCGCGATCTGATGGAACAGAATCGTGCGATGGAAAAGGAAATGGAAAGCCGTGCGGCCGCGGAACGTCTCGCTACGGAGCAACTACAGCCACTGACCGAAGAGCTGGAGAATGAGAAGCGACGCTGTCAGACTCTGATTGACGATCTCAGTTTTGCCAAGAAACTACAGCAGAGCATGGAGGAGCAGCTGAAAGCGGAAACTGATTGCCTACGCCAACAGATCTACGATCTGAAGAAAGAGCTTATGCACATCGAGGTGACCAATGGTGAGCTCAAGGAGGAGGTGCGCACGCTGGAGGCGAAAATTGCTGAAATGGAGGAGCAGCTGAAAGCGTGCGAGGAGCGTGCATGTTGCCTGGAAGATGAGCTGCGCACTAAGGATGAGCTAGTGCAACGACTGGAGAAGAAGCTAGGCGTCTGCCCCGAAGGCTTTAGCCTGGCCGATGAGCTCTACGACAGTCCGGAGAAGCGTGCAAAGCGTGAGGAGATCAAAAATCTGGAGGCAGCCAGCCAAGGCCTGGGCTGTGCTTTGAGGGATTTAGAGGTAGGTCCTTACACCGTGCACTTATTAAAAATTAGCAAATATGATTATCCACAATATATATATAAGAGTCGCATACGCTGTCTGCCTGACCGTCCGTATGATCATGTCGAGCACATAACTTGTATTTACCAGGCAGAATGAGGCAACTAGAGTCTTGAATTGAGAATCATTATTTTTTGAAGGTGACTTGATGACATAAATGCGGAAGCTTTTGATGAAAGCACTTCCCATAATGTGTCAATGGTAAGAAACACAGGAGTGATATGGATGGAAACTAGTGAAGGGTTTTTCTCGTACTATACGATTCTGATACTAAGCATAGTTATGAAAATTGATAAATTGACTTCTGGCTTCCGTTTTATTCTGTAATATTCTTGAGTATATTAAAAATGCTAGTTGTAGTTTTTTGTTGGCATATAAACACATTTAAATTTTATAACGATATGACACAATCGCTATCTAAAGTGATAAAGTCTGTTCCTTTTGTGGACTTGAGCACTTTTTCTAAATACTTGGAATATCCTTGATTATATATGTGTGAATTTTTCTTTGCAGCGCCGCGAACGTGAGCTCCCCACGCACAAGGACTTCCAGACGATAGCCTGCAGTGTGAAGCAGTTGGCGGATACCATACTCCACGCCCAGAAGCCACCGGTGAGTGAATGTGAATGTGAAGGTGCTAAAGAGCGACCTCCTTCTCTATGTAAGACTTATGAATCAAAGCGAGAGGGTGAGAAAGGGGAGAAGAAAGAGGGTGATAATGACGGGGAGGCAGATGCGGCAAAGTCTGCCACTGAAAAGGCGGCCGCGGAGGAGGCGCCCACCGCAGAGGCACCCGCGGCTGAAGGGGCACCCGCCGCAGAGGCGCCCGCCGAAGGGGCGTCCGCTGAAGGGGCGCCCGGTGAAGGGGCGCCCGCTGAAGGGGCGCCCGCTGAAGAGGCAGCAGCTGCAGACGAGGAGGCTGCTGAAGCACAAGCCAGCGGTAATGTCACCCCAGGACGAACTGCGGGTGGCGGATTGTCGGGAAGGGAGGGGATTGGCCTAACCCAGATTGGCAAGCAGCTTAAGCAGCAAATCTGTGAGGTACCCACAACGCTGCGTCGCCTGATATATGGCAAGCAGTTGCCGCAGTTGCAACAGCCGATCCAGTCAATGGATCTGCAAGTGAATCTCAAGAAGCAGCTGCAGGAAGCACGTTTGGAACGGACGCAGCTGCGTCACAAGCGTCAGCAGTGCAAGCGCTTTGTTAGTCATCGCCTCTATCGCAGTCGTGTGCGACGCAGCGGCGGCACCAGTCGTCCAATTCAGATGAACCTCCATCACAGCTATTCCGTTGCTAGTTTCCATTCGGCAGCCTCGGTGCACACGGCGCACACGGATTCATCGCCTCCAACATCGCGCACACAGTATGTGGAGATCATCGATGCACAGTGGGAGCAGGCGCAGCTCAATGGCCTAGCCCAGACGGATCCCATCAGCTCACAAAGCCAGCTGGTGCAGGTAATGCCGCAGGTGTGTGACCAGCAGCTGCAGACGGAGTGCAACACCCAGGAGTGTGGCATACAAGCGGAGAATGTATGCGTGGAGGCGCGTCTACTGCTGCTGCCGGGCAGAACACGTGCATTTATGCAGCTGCTGCAGGAGTGCATCAATATTGAGGATGACAACTTTGGCGTGGATGTTTTCCGGGCACGTGTGCTGCAGCTGTGGGAGGGTAGCGAAGAGTTTCGTGAGCATATCGAGCTGCTGCAGGATCTGTGCACCGATCATACGCGTGCAGGCGACACACCCGAGCTTTATGAGAGCTACGATGTGTTCGTGGCCGTGCTGGGCTGTGTGCGTGCCCTGAAATTTGCTCTCAAGCCAAGCAGTTCGCCGTTGTTGCACCAACTGGAGGAGCGCATTAATGAACGTTTGATAAGTTTTCATAATCACAAAGTCGAATCGGAATTCTATTGCACCATCTACTATCCGGTGGAGCGGCATAATCCCTTGAAATTCGGCGAGGATACGTGAATACCAAATTATCCGAAGTTGCCGCCAGCTTCAGCTTAGCTCAACTGGCGAGTTTTTGCCATTGGCTTTCAGAGTTATTTTTTGTACAAACCTTGAGTTACACTTCAAATCCTGTTTCGAATTAGCGTAATTTCAAAATTGTGTGTGCGTGTGTTAATAAATTAAAAAAGATAAAACAACAAAAATACAAACAATGGAGGACATCTTCTTTGACTGCTGCAGCGAGGGTGAAGCCGAATGCGAGACTATACTCATGCAGCGTGAGGGCATACTCAAGGCTGGAAAAGGAGACGCTGCCGACCACTGTTTGTTGCAAAGTAAATCCAACAAGTATGATGATCCCATACAGATACGCGACATATTACATCGTGCCGCGAATAGTGCACAGATACTGCTACACGGCCTGGGTGGGCATTGCGAGTACACGAAGTTTGAGCCACAAGGATGCAAGTGTTTCTATCCGGCAACGTTGGAGATCACCACACGAGTTCACACGGAATCGTCATGTGGCTGTCCCCCGCATTGCCAATGTGTACTGCGCGGCAGTCCGGTCACCCTAAAACTGCCTCTGGAGCTGAATCCGCACAACGGCCAGGTCAATGTGAAAATCTTTCAGCCGAGCACGAAGCAATTGACTGGTGCCGGCGAAGGTGTCGGCGGTGGCGATAAGCGCGCCTCCAATCCCTCTCCAAATAACATGCAGCGGCATTCACAGCGACGCGAAGGCCCTAAGAAAATCGGTCGTCGTGTGCGTTGGGATGCTTAGGAGCTATGGCGGCAGTTCTTCCAGATTTTTGTAACTCCAGTGAGAAGCGTGGATTTTGTTACCACGCAGCAGTGAAGAGCATGGAGATGTGTTATTGCAATTCGATAGCAAGCCAGAGCAACAAAAATGTGGTGAGAAGCATGGGACAAGCTCCACGGTTTACATATCAGCAAACAGCTTTGAGGTGCGTTTGTCAATTTTGTTAACGGTCAAAAGCGCGCCTTGCTTATCGATATCACTCGTATTTGAAATAATTTATTTGTAAATTCAGTTCGATTAAATAAGCAACATTTGAGTAGGCTGCGTTTTTGTTGCTGTGCCTGACAAATGGGGTTTGGTTCAGTTCATTTTAATTATTTCAAAGAGCAACATCGTAGAATAAATTTCATGTAAATTCTTATATTAGTTGGAATAAATTTGGAGCCATAGTCCATTTAGCCATGGACAAGGACAGGAATAAAACGAATGCCAATAAGAATGCATCGTGTTCTGCTGCACGATGCAAGAAACCAGATACCTGCATCCATTTGCGCAGCCTTCGCCAGCAGCAAATTAAAGCGGGCACCTCCACTCAAGTACTTTATCGTGGGCCCAATTTTCAGGCACAGCGCAGTGATGAGGATATCTTTTTCGATTGTCTGAGTATTGGCGACACTGATTATCCCCGGGAGGGTCACAGCTGCAAAATGTTCGCCAGCTGCAGGACAATCACTAGCACTAACCCCACCTTGTGCAGTAAGACCTCTACTAAAAAGGGAACATCCAGTTGTAAAACAACCTCCACCTGTAATGCGTCCGCCAGTAGCAAATTCGATGATCCGGTGGTTGTGCGCGAAACCCTTGAGCGTGCTGCAAATGCCACGCAAATGCTGCTACGTAACTTTGAGAGGAATAAGCGGGTGTGTAAACGTCCGTGCAGTGCAACCCTGGAGATAACAGCGCGTCTGTTAACCGATCCTAAAGAAACCAGCTCAAAATGCCGTCTAGAGGGCAGACCGGTAACCGTTCAAATGCCACTGCAATTCGATCCGAATACGGGTCAAATGGTCACAAGCCAGTCACGGCCTATCGATAAGGAGACACCAGGCTACTCGAAGCAGACGTGCACAGGTAGGGATACCAGCAAAAAAACTTTTAAGCCGTTAAGTGATGCAGCGGAAGTAGAAGATGACTACAGCATGTTTAAGGGATCATGTGGTCCGTCCATTGAGAGCATTGGGCTGGCCCCGGTGATAGTGCCCCTACCAGTAGCGATGCCAGTGCCAGTGCCAGTTCCAGCGCCAGTGCCAGTGCCAGCTCCAGCGCCAGTGCCAGTGCCAATGCCAATGCCAATGCCAGTGCCAGTGCCAGTGCCAGTGCCAGTGCCTGTACCACAGCCTGTACCAGAGCCAGCGCCAGAGCCAGAGCCAGTACCGGAACCCCTTCCCTCGCCAGAAGCAGTACCTGAACCAGAACCTGAACCCGAGACCGAATCAGAACCAGATACAGAGAAATTGCAGAAAGTTGTCACCCTGTCAGAGTCGGAGACAGCAGTGATTCTGACACCGGTACACGATCTGACACCAGAACCCTCGCTAATAGAGGGGCCTGTTAAAAAGTATTTTCTGGCCTTACCGCAGCATAAGGAGTTCTCAAATTGTTCACCTTGTCGGTTTGAGCCTAGTCCCATTATGGACGAGGATGGTAACGTCTTCTGTCCAGGCAATTGTGGATGCTGTCAGTGCCCGTGGAAACGACGTTCCTTTGATGACAATCGCGACCGCATTAATGTGAAGGTCTGCCGCTGCGTACAGCGCGGCACCATTTTCTCCAACTTTGATGAGCGCGAGACTTGCAGTCAGACATCCTATTTTGACTTTTGCCCATGCAGGGAGAAGGCCGAGGCCAAATTTCTCGAGTTGTATCACTGCGAAATGTGGTCAGCAGCGAACATAACTCGCGGTCGGGAGGTACAGCTCTCAGAGATCAAGGAGCTAAGGACACCGCCACAAACGCGTTCTTAATCGAATTTTTAAAATCCGTCCCTCCCAACCGCTTCGCTTCTTTTTTGCTCATAATCAGTTCCTTGTCCAAATGGCCTATAATTTATTGCGATTGTGTTCTTCCCATCAGAATAAAATGTTCAAATGAAGTCCAACTGCATCTAACTGTCTCTTTTTTCGTTCTTTTTTTGCAGGTTGCCCAGCTCTGATGTATATGCAGGATGAGCGACGCTGTCCAATGAACGCCGATGCCCTCGCCCCAAACTACCGCACCCAAGACATACAAACTGACCAATCCCATTTGAGAAATGAAGCTCAAAGGGCTGCCCAAAGGCAGTTCAACGGCAACGGAATGCCCAGCCAGCCAACGCAAACACAGAATTTAAGAAAACAGCAGGACATGGAGGAGGGTGGCGATGAACTGGCCAAAACATCTCAGACGGACACATCCTATCTTTACGATCACTATGTACGCTCGCTCGGTAATAATTTTGTTGCGCACAAGCGATCACAAACACGCGTCAGCCTTGATTTCTATAATATGGGAAAAATTCATTATCCCACACAATACATATGCCGTATTGTAGATGAGAACGATGCACATCTGCAAGAAAGTGATCCAACCCTTAACAATTTTGATGAGAACCACTCAGATCGTCAACATCCAGTTAACGAATGTATTTGTACCGATAATGATTGGAAGCAAATAATTAAAGCTAAAATGCGCACGCAATATCAGCAAACAGATTCTTGTTGCGAGTCGAAATCGCAACCAAGTATACCATCCTGTACAGTCGTACAGCAGCCGGATAGTAAGAACAGTCCACAAAGTTATAAGTCCAGCACTTGTCCCTGCGGCTCAAAATCTTTGCCCAACGTATCATCTGCGGAAGGTCAACCGCCGCTCTACGAGGAAGCGAAAATACAACCGCAGCCACCACCGATTCCGGATAGTAAGAACAGTACAAAATCGATGTCCAACGTACCATCTGTGGAAGGTCAACCGCCGCTCTACGAGGAACCGAAAATACAACCGGAACCACCACCGATTCGTTGTTATTGTGATTCAGAAGAAGCTCAAGGCAAGGACTTTTCTCAACCAACTGATGATGCATATTGTTCAATACCCAGTTGCCATACCGCACAGAGCGACTCCGTAGATCAACGAAATGATATTTCCCAACCAAGTAATACTGCTTATTGTTCAATACCCAGTTGCCATACCGCACAGAGTGGCACCATTGATCAAAATGATGAGTCTTCCAAATCAAAAAATGTTGCCTCTCTTCCAATACCCAATTCCGAAACCGGACAAAGTGCGATCGAAGACCAAGCTATTGAGCTAGGTAATACTGCCTATTGTTCAATACCCAGTTGCCATACTGCACAGGGTGGTACCGAAGATCAACGCAATGACATATCCGAACCAAGTAATGTTGCTTATTGTTCAATACCCAGCTGTCATACCGCACAGAGTGGCACCGTGGATCAACGCAATGACGTATCGGAACCATGTAATACTGAGTATTGTTCAATACCCAGTTACCATACCGTACAGGGTGGCACCGTTGAGTCTGCCAAATCAAGAAATGTTGGCACTGCTAATCAAGGTAAAGCCTTGTCTCAACCAATTAATGCTGCCTACTGTGCAATGTCCAGTTGTCATGCTGTACAGAGTCGCCCCGCAAATCAAGCTATTGCTTTGCCCCAACCAAGTAATGTCTATTGCTTAAATCCAAGTTGCCTTACTGCACAAGGCGGAGTTGTGGATCCAAATATGACCAGAGCATGCACTGATCAGGGCTTGCCATCTTTGCTTTCTGGGGACAGTTGTCCCCGTGGTCAGAACAATCTGACTGGAGTTGCCGGAGTCTATTATAGCCTGGAGTCGGGCCATAGTCGTTCAATGGCATCAAGTGCTATGCCACAAGCTGGAAATCCTTGTGGATTGCCAAACGCACACAGCCCTGCGCCAAGCTGTTATTATTCCTTGCACTCAGAGACTAGTAGGGGAAACGGAAAGGATAACGCTACGGCATTTTTTAGCGTGAGATCTTGCACCAGTCGGCCACTCGATAACGTAACCACTTTTGATAGCGTGAAACCTGGATCGAGTCATCGGGATATCTGTAACTGTGATCAAAGGGACAATGCCACTAAATTTTTCAGCGTTGATTCTGGCAGCACTCGTCTAGTCGAAAATAAAGGACAAAAGGATAACGCCACGACCTTTTTCAGTGCACAATCTTGCGTCAGTCGTCCGGTTGATAATAGTCAAAAAGATGACGCTACCCGCTTTTTAAGCGTGCAATCCTGCAGTAGTCGATTAGTTGATGATGTTTGTCATAAGGATAACGCCACAACCTATTTTAGCTCAAAGTCCTGCACCAGTCCTCCAGACGATAGTAATTCTAAAAAGGAAAACGACACAACTTTTCTTAGCGCACAATCCTGCACCTGCTCGAAAAAGGATAATGCCACCGCATTTTTTAGCGCACAGTCTTGCACCAGTCGACCAGGCGAGAATATTTGTCCAAGAGATGTGTCCACTTTTCTTAGTTTGGAATCGGGCATCATCCGGCCAGCAACCACTCAACCCAATGTCGAATTCTATACAATTCCCAGTTTCAACGCGCAGAGCAACTCGGAAGGTGTCTTTGGCTCGCAACCCTCTGTGATTCCGTGGAGTATGGTTACCGAGAAAAGTGGAAATCAAAGCGAAACTACCGACTGGCGAAGCGCGCGCTCTAAAAATACCGCTGAGCTTAATCAAAATGGAGTCGATGTGGCGTGTTCTTGCCTCGCACCCGATCCAAGTACGCGTACCTTCCTCGCAGCAGATCCGAGTAGTATTGCGCCGGCCACTTCAATGGGACAAGCATTTTACCAGCAGGGACAGAATCTGCAGGTGTTGAAAGGAGCAAAGTTTTTTGATGCACAAAGCACGACTTATCAGAGCGCGCGTTCGGAGCCCAGCGAAAGGCATCCTTGTTTCTGCAGCAAGAGTGCACGCTCTGACGTGGCTACTCAACAAGGTGACAGCTTTTTCGATGCAGACAGGAGCAATATAACAACATCCATCAAGAGTCGTCCGGTTGAGCATGACGAGAGTAATGCGGATGACGCCTCACAGCATAGTAGTGTTCATCAGGTAGCCTGCAATAGATCTTCTTTGGGCTACGCTGACAAGACCTCGTCACGCTCGCAGTCTGTAATGGCCAAGGTCACGTGCTTGTGCTCGTCAGATCAGAGGATGAAGTTGGGAATAATGGGACGCGAGGCTAGGGAAGGACCGCCCTTCACAAAAGTCGAAGAAAGTGGCTTAGAGTGCGCCATTGTACCCACTGATCCTGTGCTTGTGTCAAAGATGTTTTCGGCAGCCGCTACCAAAGACTTCAGCTGTTGTCAGAGCTGCAATGTAGCACCGAGCGCAAAGGTTGTGTTTATGAATCGGACTGACAAGTTTTGTGATTGTTATTCTTCATCTGAGACTTCCATAGGCGGTACCGCTGTGAAGTCTTTATGTGAATTTAAAGATGTTGAAAGCGGACCTTCGAGCTGCACCTGTGACAAAGAGTCATCTAGGGGGATGTCAATTCATAAAAGACAAGGATCGACTGGCTACAAGTCTTTGGATCCATCCGTACTTAACGGTGACCAACAGATTTCTATGAAAAGCGCATTTACCTGTTCGTGCAACCATCCAAAGTTGAATGTCGACTATAAATCGGCTAACTCCGCAACTGCACATTCCAAATCCTGTTTAACAACCTCGAAATACGGCGCGTCCATGCCAAACTTTAGCTTGCCATCCGAAATCGAGGGTACTAGGATTTCTGGCCAATATCGTATCAGCCCTGAAGAGGGTCCTATGGAGCAGGACCGGGAACAGGTCCAGGTTCAGGAACAAGTCCAGAGTCAGAACCAAGACCGAGTCCAAGGCCCGGCTCAGGACCAGATCCAGGGCCCGGGTCATTACCAGATCCAGGTCGTGTGCCAGGATCAGGATCACGAACTGGACAACTACTGTGAGTGTGCATCCGACAGGCAGGTGACAAGTTACAGGAGCTGTATATCGAACGATTGGGGCAATGCCGGTTCACCAAAGGAACGCATTGTGAATATTTTGAATTTATTGAGCGATTCAAACGATTGCTGCATGGATCGCACTGCCACTATACAACAACTGTTTCGTGAACTAACCATGATGCTTCGCCGAGAGGAAGACGATGATGAAGAGGCAGCTGAACCCTTATCCTACGAAGATTGCATGGCAGCCGTAACGGCGGGCAGACTACCACCAAAAAAACAGCCCAAGTCGAAAGACAAGTTAGAGCGGATGCAGTGTCTTGATCAAATGGAAAAATATCTGGAGAAATGTTTTCCGCTAAAAGCGGGTCGGACTATACAACCGACGGAAATTGTCGCTTTCGAACGCGATCCAAATTTTGATCCTTATCGTAAGCCTTATGATACCGACACTGAATCAAAGGATACGAGCTCTAAGAATTTCGTCAGCTGCCATACCGACGTCGAGTTTCATACGCCATTCGCTTCTGATTCCTATCGAACGGGCTCTAAATCAGGAAGCTGGAAATCTCCAGACTCCAAGTCAACAAGCAACAAATCATCTGAATGGAAGACTCCCGATACTAAATCGGCCGATTCGAAATTGCGAGATTCGATCAGCTGGAAAACACCAGATTCCAAATCATCAGGTTCTAAAAGGACTACGCCCGTAGAGGGCTCTAAGCGTAACTCGCAAGGGGGGGAATCTTTAAGTACCGACTCAAGAAGGAATTCTGCATCACCGTCTAGCCCAATAGATGAAGATGAAGTAAGTCCACTGCCAGATAACGATGCAAATGAGTCTCCCGAAGCAACGGCAGAGGCACCTGAGATCCCTGAGGAGAATGGCGAAGTAGATGTCCAAGCCGACGAAGAACCTCCAGTACTGCCTCCAGAAGAGCCTGAGCCTGACGAAACAACTAACGAACTTACTCCAGCCTCTGGTGCCAATAAAAAGCCGAGCTGTGTATGTGGGACTGACGAAGAGTCTACCAAAGTCTCTCCAGAAGAGCCAAAGCCGGACGAAGCAACTAATGAAATTACTCCAGATTCTGGCGACATTAAAAAGCCGAGCTGTGCATGTGAGCCTGACAATGAGTCTACAGAAGTGCCTCCAGAAGAACCCAAGCTGGATGAAGGAGATGACGAAGCAGTGGAGGAGGCAGCAGATGAGGCAGCGGACGAAGCAGCGGATGAAGAAGCAGAAGAAGTAGCAATCGAGGCTGAAGAACTCACACCAGATTCTGGTGCCATTCAAAAGCCGAGCTGTATATGTGATCAGGATTCGAACGAGGCTGAAGAACTTACTCCAGATTCTGGTGCCATTCAAAAGCCGAGCTGTATATGTGATCAGGATTCGAACGATATTTTGAGTCCGCTTACGGATAGGGAGCGCTTACTATGCGAATATATGATGCGTCGCATGTGCGAATTGTGTGGGGATGAGCAAACCGTAGAGGAGGAGGCCACGGAAGGCGTGGACCGGCCGGGAGAGCCATGTGTTTGCTGTCACTGTCGCGCGCTCGCTTGCGACAACCAATGTAAGACTGTATCCAAAACACTGGATGCCATCCGATATGATCCCGTTGCCGAAACGGTAAGTGTCTTAAATACAACAAAAATCTGTCCGTCCGTCTTTATAATCAATTTTGATCTTTAAAAGCTAGCGAGCTTGGAGCGTAGTTTTTTCCTAATTTCGCTAGAACGTATATTTTTAACTATTTATTGATAAATGAGGTCTTAAGCAAATATTGTAGATGCTCAAAACTTGCATTTAGGTTTTCTAAAAGCAATAGATCACCAAAATGTTGCTTTTTAAAGACGTGAGAGAAATTTCATAAGAATCGGTGAGAAGGGAAAGGCGGAGCACAGCTTGTGCTCGAGGCTTACGAATTCAGTAGATGTTGCGGCGTTGAGTTAAGGCTATTCCCTTGTAGTGCACCTTTGAATATAGTTTTCTTAGGCTTTTATTAAAATTAATTTCATTTTCTTACAGAAATTTTTCATTGATTCCATCATTTGTGATTTGCATGCTATGAATCATGTGATGAACAAGAATAAAATTAATCCCAAGGTAAATTATGCAAACTGCCTGCAGATCGAAACCTTTGTTTAAAACATTTTCCGCCCCACAGACGCCCAAGCCGTCGCCTTGTATGGGCAATGGGCCGGGGGAAAGTTTCCCTGTAACCATTACGGATGTCTCAAGTTTGGGCTGTCGTGCGCTCTATGTGCGTTGGCAATTGGATGACTGCGCCGCCGTTGGTGGATACGAGGTGAGCGCAATTTATAATTCATATGTAGCCAATCATTATATATGACCCTCTACCGTCGATAGATTTATGTGGATGGCCATTTGACGAATCGTTTTTATAGTTATCGCCACGAATCTGGTGTCGTGGCCAATGTGGATGTGACTAAGCGGCATCAGATCGTTTTGCGCGCACAGGCGGTGGGTCAAGAGTTTCCTGGCGATGAAGTTGGTTGCGGCCAAAATGCGATGGTACACGCCCATCCGGAGATGCTGGTGGGCGCTAGCCAACCCTGGACACCGAGCGTCTTTTTTTATGAACCTTAAGTGCGCCCAGTTTGACGCTGACGGCGCACAAAGTGCTAGTCAAAAGTTTCTATTCGAGTTTTGTCCGTTCTTAATACCGTTAGTTTCTGTCCCTTGTTCATTGTGCATATAAATCGATTATCGATTATTATCGATTATTTCACCTAGTGTAGAGATCGATATTTGAGGAATACAAGTGGTCCAGCATGCATTCAAGCATAGGAATTTCAAGTGGACATTTTGATCCCTTTACAATGTGCCTTAAATACAAAATTGTACTCATCGATGTTGCACGTGTTGTTGCGTTTTAAAACGCGGAATTTACATACATACACTAATATATATTTTTGAATCTGTTATATGAACAAAACTAGAGATGGGCAATGCGAACAAATTGTAGCTTATGAAAATTGTCTAAATAATAGAGAAAATTGTACTCTGATTGGCTTGTTCCTTTTTTTAAATATTAATATAATCTGTCTTAAAATCATATTGTTGACAGCGATGAAAGGTTACAAATGCTTATACTTAGTTAACACCACAACACCACAAATAATTGGAAAGTCCCAGTTGCATTTACTAAAATGTTACAATTTTGTAAAGTTACAAATACAAAAAAAGGTCAATCTGAAAAAGTATGAGTTCCAAAGGAACCTACAATCTCTAATTGTACAAAACCCTGTGGTTTTAAAAAACAGTTTGTTGAAAACTCCCTAGTCACAGTCACAAGAAATTACAAAGTTGTGAAGTCACAATTTTATCACCGTTCGCAAAAAGGGAGTTGTATTTAAACACAATAATGAAAGTGAGATAATAAATCACACTGGATTGTCATTGAATCACACAAAGCTAATTGTATATAATCTTAAGAGTTAATGTTAGAGAATAACAATTGCAACGAATTACGCTAAATCACACTGTAAATGAGCACCTATATCAGGCAAAATTGTCGCAATATAATACAGGAAATTCATATATTTTATATAAGAATATTTATACACCTATTATTCTAGCTCTATTGACTCGAAATACTCAAGCAAAATTCTCTGTCAAGTCTCGTCGCCCATCTCTATTACATCTAAGGAGTTACATACACATATGGATATGTAGATATGTAGTTAGTCTGCCGTTTTAGGCAAGCATAACTGTTGCATTGTTATAATAACAGTTAATTATCTAATACTAGATACTTACCACCTGGAACGTAGCAATTGTGGACCAAGGTTCATGTTTGAATATACGTAGTTTTTACACACTTATTTAATGCGCATTATTTTTACTGTGAAGTATACAATAAAATTAACATTTAAATGCATGAAAGATGCGAAGGCGTATAGTGGGTAGGATATTATGTCATCTAATACTAGGCGTAGTTGCGGCATGTGGAATGGAACATAGAACTTAAACTATCTACGCAAACAGGGCTGGCAAGTGCCGGGCAGCACAAACGATGGATGGCACTCGGGGCACTTGGGATTCTCGCCGAACCATCTGCCATGTGTGGAGCTGCTACTAGACGAGCTGCTGCCGCCGTTGGTGCCGGCACGACGCTCTGGTATCTTTAACTGAAATGAATTGTAGAGATCTCCGGCGGCGCTCGAGCCAGGCGCATAGCCCGTGCGTCCGATTGTCTCCAGCGGGAAGGCATACTCCGGTATTAGGAGCTGCTTACGCAGCTGTGTTATGTCTGTCGATGTGGAGCTAGCGCTAGCGCTGACCACATCTGCGCGTCGCTGCGCCTTCTCCGCGGCCATCATGGGCAGCTCATTGGGTTTGATGGAACGCGAGATGGGCAATCGCTTGGGCGCAACTGCGGCTGAGCCATGGCTGGCTATGTCATTCAACTTGGAGTTGAAGCTATCCTGTTTGGTCTTGACGCTGTAGTCGCCTGTGGTCTCTGGGTATTCGCGTCCATCCACGCCTATTGGCGGATCCAGTTTAGGTGGCTGCAGCCCATTAGCAGGCACCTTCCATTCGTAGTAGATGGGCGGTCCTTGTGTGGTGGCTATGTCATGTGGTACAAACTCCACAAATGGTGGCAGCAGATCGTTAAAAGGCAGCTCTGCCTTGGCTGCTACTTTGGGCGCCGATGTCGAAGTGGGCGTGGCTGGGCGGAATGCTTGCGCCGGCGTGGGCGTACGATGCTCTGTTTGAGCCACAGCTGGGCGATAGTTGATCGCTGTACTTGCCGTAGTGGCCAGCGTGGAGTAGGAGAACGGCTGTCCAGCGTAAGTGGTGGGTCGGCTAAGCGGGCGTGCGGTGGTGCTTGGTCCGGCAGCTGCTGCCGTAAAGCGTGTCTGAGTTGAGGCAGTGCTAAAAGGCGCCGCTGACGAAGTCCGCAATGTTTCTGTGGCCGGCTGCAGCTCGTCCTGGTTGTAAATGGGATACACAAAAGGTGGTTCATAAATTTTCGATGGCGCCTTTATGAACTTGACCAGCTTGGTGGTGTTTTTGGTCGCTGGCTGCTCAGCAGAGTTAAAGTCAGCCGATGTATTGTAGCGTGTGCTGTGACTGGTTCCCAGGTCATCTGTATCAGGATCCGCAATGCGCTGATGCAGTGCCTCCGTCCGTTTGTGCAGCACAGGCGCAACAGAGGCCGGCCTGCGAGTTGTGGTGCGGCTGGTGGTGATGATGGGTTTGGCTCGGGGTGTGCTGCTGGCCACTTCGATCTGTGGCTCGTAAGCCGGCGGAAGAATAGTGCGGCTGGGTGGAGGAATGCGCCAGCGTGTTTGACCGTTTTGTGCTAACTGAGACTCAAATTTGGCAGCGCCTTTATTCGAATCATCGCGTATTTGATTTTGACTCGGCGTTAGCTGCTGCACGAAATAGAGCTTGGTCAGTTAAGAAAAAATTAATTGTGAATAGGAAAGTCTTACCTTGTATTGGCTTCTAAATGATTCGCCGGAGTAGTCGGGTGCATAGGGACGATCCAGCAAATCTGGACGTGGTGTGCGCAAATTGTTTTCTTCATCGTTTACAAAAGGCTTATCACGCTGTCCTAGAAGGCACACAATAAAAAAAAATAAGTAAAGAGTCAACACTAAATTTCCTTTCTAGACTTTAAGCATTTAAACTTTGTAAATATTGTTTTTTCTAACAGTTTTTGTTTAATCATAGTTTGTTCTCTTAAATTGTTTTGTTTCGCAAACTCAAATGATTTTGATTCTGAAGATTCCTTTATTATTGAAAATTGTTTGAAAGGGTAGAATGGTATTATGCAAATGCATCTAACAGGCAGAAGGAAGTATCTCCGATCCCAAAAAGTATATATCCTTGGTCAAAATAAGTGGCCAAGTCGATCTATCCCTGTCCGTGTGTCTGTCTATTCATATATCCATGCATATATATGAACGCGTCGATCTCAGAGCCTACAAAGCTAGAAAATTTGAATGTAGAGAGTTTATGCGAATATTCCATGGCCAAATATAGTCTATTGCAGAATATTTCATCAAGATTGGCACGCCACATCGCAGCAAGCGCAAGGTGCTCGAATGTTGTTGTAATGCTAATAATATGTTTCCTTGGTGTTTTGATAGCAGTTTCCGGGTATTATATTTATTCTACTTACTTACATTTTCTATTAATTTTCACTTACCAATTAGAAGATTGGCCGCATAGTTGCTCTCAGCCTTGGAGCAGTTGACCATGTACCAATGATCGCAGATGAGCATGCGCTGCTGAAAGAGCGTGGTGTTGGGACAGGTATAGCTGAACTGACGTCCCAGACCATCGCACATGTGATAGACCTAAGCGATAAGGATGATAACAGATCATATAAAAGAGTACAATACAAAAGATTACGACACACACCTGACAGCCCGTCTCCACGTCCGCATAGTAGCCCGCTGGACGTCCTGTGCAAGAGAAGGAAGTCTTTTGCGCGTTCAATCCATTTTGGCACTGGAAAAATAAAAAGTGTGGTATTTTTTAAGACATATATTGAGGTAGCAAAACTGGAAACGTATTTTGAAAATTAGAATCCATGTAAAACTGAAAAAAAGTGACGAATCGAAACTCGAGATCACATGTATGTTCAGGTTCTTGAATTAAACCTTGAGACAAGTAATGGGTTCGAACCGTGAACCGAGTGTGTGAGTATATGAGAATTGTTTGGGGCGCTTTCCCAAGCCAAGAGCGATTAGTGCGGCTAAACAAATGATACAAGTACTCGCCGTCTGATCAAGATCTATGAATACTCGAACTGGGTACTCGTGTCGAGACCATATACAACTGTTGCTGGCATGCATATGCCACAGCCTCGGGCTATGGTCCACCAAGTGATGAATTGAAGTGATGTCATAAGTTGGCACATGGTGCCACGGCTGCTTGCAACAGTCGGTGGGTCCAAAGCGACCTGCTGCTGTGTGAAATGTCAACTTTGTGTGTTTGTGCTTTTTTCTTTAGTTTTTCATTTTTTGTTGTTTAATTATATAGAAAAAGTCTTCATGTGTCTCTAGCAAATTATAGCCCAATGACTTATCGAAATCTGCCACTGGGCCTCTCCAGCTACGTGTGAATATGTGAAGAAGCTTCCGTGCCAAAGACTGCAGAGTCCGTGAAAAATTGTTTTTCCCAGCTGCCTCAAAACAATATAACAAAACATTTGAAGCTGCAGCAAAGCCCTAAGCCCAGCTTATATAATATTGTAAAACAAGAAAAGGAAAAATAAAAATAATACAAAATAATTTATTTACTGGACAACTGATGTTTTTGCTTCGATAAATTCGTTGGACGTTCGCTGCTTGCTGAACCCTTCAAATTCCTGAGTTAACGTTTCACAGTTAATTCGACAGCTGTGACTAAAATTTAACTTGTCTATAAGCTCTATTAAAAAGATAAAAGATACTTGCTGACATTTTGATTTTCCGCATACGTATTCCCAGGTTGTCATCTTACATTTTGTAATTTATAGCCTAAAACTGTACATTTATTGTGTACGCCAATTTGTTGGGCTTAATACGCCGTATTTAAAACTGATATGTAGCTAGGCAAAGGACATGTAATTCAATTGTATCCAAACATTGTTATCCCCTTAAGCTTTCCGAATGAAAGCCTTGCAATTTTACCCAATTTTTTTAAAAGCAACAAGAAGACTTCACTAGCCGACTTCTGTCGAAAATCAAACATCACCATTTCCTACTGATGAAAGATAAAAAGGCGATACCAAGCAATACATCAAAAATGGGCGAATAAGTATTTTACGTAAAAATATTCTCTACGTATTTGCGTATATTTGTTTTTCAGCATTTCCAGTTACGAGGTATCTTCTAGTCGAGCTCTGGTATCTGGAGCAAACTTATTTGTCACTTCTATTAAAGCTCACAACACTTTTACATTGTCGCCTATATGGTTACGTTTCCCGTTAGCTTATAAGGTAATGTGATTAGCATTAATTTGCGACACTGTGGGCTCAGAAATTGTTTTGCATTTGCCTTATAGGGGCACATTGTTTATCTGTGGATCTGTGAAGATCTTAACCGATCTTCTTGGCAATTTGGCATGCCAAATGGTTGACTAACCAAATACTTGCCTTGCGGCTAATTTATGTAATTTGATCACATGCTGCGAATATTTGTTGGTGGTAATTTCATAGTTAATAGCACTTCGTTTACGGGCGATGCTTACTGAAATTTTATAAATAGCGTTAGGTGTTGGAAAATGTTGCTGGGATTTTAAAAGAGTTTTTTCTTTAAAAGATTGCTTCATAAATTTCAGCTAAACTTCATCTGCGTGCTTATATTCATTTTAAGCGTAGCGAAAAAAGGCAACACACTTTTTTTAAACGTATTTTGTTCCATTTTTTGGGACTTTTTCTCTTCTTCTTCGACTTCTTCTATTTGTTGCTGTGGCTGTGCTGCAAAAGTGTCAGTAAAAAGGTCACTTGGTCAGCGACTGCGACAACGTCTTTGTTTTAATATGCTTGAAGACCTTTGCCGTTTGTTTTTGTTGCTGGTTGTGGCATGTGTGTGAATGAATACCCGTATCAGTAGGTGCACTCACATAGACAGCCATAGAATAAATTAAAAATGAAACAAAGCGTAAAGAGCGCAAAATTACAACATTTTCCGCCGTTGCTCAAAAGCACTTGGGAAGTGAAGTCGACAAAAAAAAAACCAACTATAAGAAGAAGGTGAAGACGAAAAAGCTGTCAGACCTGAGTCAAAGGGGGCTCGTGCACCAGAGAGATGAGAGGCTTGGGGCGAGGTTATTTTCAAAATGATAAACACCCAATTTTAAGCGCCTAATGTGGCAGCAAATA